TCTCCACCAACTCCTGAGACAAATATATCTGGCTCTTTAGCTGCTAGTCGCTAACTGTGTCTGTCTATGTAGTGTACAGTGGGTTTATCTTGTTCGGTGCTGCTAGAACCACAAGACCAAAACTAGGAGCTAAAAGAGGCTAAAATGCTCTGTAGAGATTTGTTCATCGTGGGTTTACAGTGTAGAAGTGCAGCCTCGCTGTGTGGTCCGTCTCCATTTGGTCTCACATCTGTGTTAGAAACAAACGCAGCTATTAACATTGATAGGCTTTAATGAAGTGTGGTGTTTTTTTTTAAAGGATAAGTCCAGAAGTTTGTTACGGAGCCTCAACCTTCTCGCTGTTTGGTGCTTGTGATGGCGACAAGTCAAAAAAATGACAAAGGCTGTATTTTACTTTAATCGCTTAAGTTAATAAGTTAATAATAAGTTAATCACCCAGGATTAGAGTCAGATAAGAACAAATGTAGAAATGGAGAGTGGCACTTCAAAGTCTCAATATATAAAAATTTTGGTTACTGATGTGTTCATGAGGCAGATGATCCAGGTGTGTTTAAAGAGATACAATATTTAAAATCAATGTTTTTAGGAACATACACTTACAAAAAAAAAAATTCATTTTGTGGTAACAACATAGGACAAAGTGCCCGCAGACCTTTTCACTGGAAACGGCGTCCAGCGCTCAGAGATCAGAGGCAGAGCGGAGCTGTCTAAACACTGGCGATGGATGTAACAGAATACTGAGTTTGAATGATGGGCAGCGAGGAGAGCACGCCATAACAAGTTCACAGCCAGTTCATCAGTCTGAATGAGAGGAAGAGAAGAACGGAGAGGAAGAAGAGAAAATAGGTTTACTGAAGAAAAGACGGCACATTTACACCTCTAACTGCATCGTGCTGTACTGACACTGTAGTATTAGTATGTGTGTTAGTAGTCAGCTTGGTAGTAATGTTAATATTACAAAGAGCACATGTAAATTTTATTTTCACCCATATGTTGAACAGAATGGCACATGGGGAAAAAAATCACAGAATTCACATACAATAAGGGTGTGTTTGTCAGATATTTCACATCATGTCAAATATAAGCACATGGGGTTTGGGGGCATTTCACATTTGAATGATCATATTTAGCATAAGAAAAAAATTATTTATAAGAAGCCTGAGTCATGACACTAAAAGCCTCAAAACAAACATGAAAATTAAATTTTTCAAACCTTGAGTTCAAAGATTCATTATTGACTTTGGAAGTAAGATGAGATAAGAAAGAACTCAATTTATCCTGAGGGAAATTTTTGTGCAGCAGTTGCAGTACAAAGTAGGAAGAGTGCTAATATGAAATATCAATAAACAGGTCACAATACCCAAAGTATAAACAAGGTTAACTGTAAGCATCGCAAGTGTCTCATATCTCCAGTTGCTTGGTGAGTTGCATATAGATATGTATTAGTTTGACAGAAAATTATTAACACAATGTAAATTTACAGGATATTTCTGTAGCTTTCACCAAAATCTCATGGTCTTTATCAGCAGTTTGTTTAGTTGTTCTGGAGACAGCTGTTATCATGTTATGTTTAACGTTTTAGTCACATGAAGGCCGCACGATGTGGCTGAAAGCTCCGTAAAGTTTATTGTAATCTTGTACTTTCATCTGTTTCAGCATCATTCACAATTATATTTTATTGTTAAAACATCATCAGTCTTATAGTTAAAGTACTACTAGTATTGTAGTAATAATAAATAAATAATATTAGAAGTAGTAAAACAAGTATATATGAACATACAGCATATAAGGAAATTCCAGGATGTATTTGAATCTATCATAGGATATTTTGAAATACATATAAATATATTGTCATCTTTTAATATATTATAAACTAAAATGGCATCTCTTATATATTATATATTATATATCTTATATATAAGTATATTAAAAGTATATTTTACAAAAGATGAAGTGTTGATAACTGATGTTTATCAGTATAGGGAAAATTATTATTATTTCACAGTGAAATGCAGATATTATATTATTATAGTATATAAAGTTTAGTGTGTGTTATTTTCTTTTTTTTCAGTTAACAAAAGAGGCCAAAGTTCTCACATGTTTAACTTTGTCAAACAATGTTAATCCCTTCCTTAAACAAGCAGCTGTGCAAGAATTTTGCTTAAATAAAATAATCTAAAATTGGTGAAATGATGGTTTGAATCAGGAAGTATTTGATCAAAGAATAAGTAAAACACAAGTACGGGCCACAAGATTGTTTTTACTGAACTCACCTCCTGTCGGTCTGCGTGTATTTGTCTTTTCGCCATCTCCTGTGAAAATAATGTGAGTGTGTCGCTGTGGACGGACGATCACAGCTCATCTACAGCCGACACTGCTCTGTTCAGAAGGGAGGAATTCTCTCTGCTAGGTTTAATGCAGACTACGTTAGTGTACATAATGAAGAGTGAAAGTGTAGTGACAGACTTTATGTTTTATGCTCATGATTTTGAGAAACATAGATCTAATTATTCTCTGTGCGAGAGACGGTGTATCTTTAAAAGACTCAGAAACAGAGAGGTTGTCGGTTCAAATACTGTCTGCTAACTTCAGTGAAAGACAATTCTGTTCAAAACTTCCACATTCTTTATAATAAAAAAAACTTTTAGGTCACTTATTGGAACTTTTCGGAAGCTTTCAGCGAGTGGTAGTACTTGAGTTTTTAACTGCTTATAAAGCAGCATCAGTTTAATGCTGATGACTTTATATGACCTACATAAGCACCATGAGTGACAAGATTTTTTCTGTATGGTTATTCTTAATGACTGCCACCAGGTTGGATTCGTTCGGATTCCCCTTGAAATCAACAAAATGAGCCAATGGAAACACTACCACTTTTGTCCACAGGGTCCGCCAGAATCAACACAAAATGAAAGTTCCTTGTTGCTGCTTTAAGTAAACGTATTAATACCACCCTCTAAAAATACTCAAAAGTCCTGCATTTAAATGTGGCTTCAGTAAAAGTATTCAGAAATCAGGAAAATGTATGAAAAGTATTAAAAGTATGTAGTTAATAAAACACCATATTTTATAAGCTCTTAATATGTTTTGTGCATTCATTTGTTAAGTAAAAGTAGCATGAATTGGCATGAAAATAAAAGATTCAATTAAAGCACCAGTACCTCAAATTTGTACATAAGTACAGTACTTGAGTAAATGTATTAGTCACATTCCACCACTGCTTTTAGCCACATCTTGTAGCATCTGCTGATGGAGGATGTCAGATGTGGCCGATTTAATAAAAGAGTTCTGTAATGTTTTAGGAATAATTCAACATTTTGAGAAAATCTTTTCTTTTCAAGAATTACAAGGAAAGATCGAAACCTCTCTCATGTCCGAAGTATGAAGTTGGAGTCAGGACCTGTGGCCCTTCATTCCTTCTCCCTCCCCCTTGCCCATCTATCTTGAGCTGTCCTATCAATCAAGGCAAACAAAAACCTTGACTTTTGAACTAACTTTTAGCAGCCCCTCTAAAGATAGATTATTAAAGAGTTGAATCCCATTTGTCTGTACATAAACATGTAAAAATGATAAATGATTTTGGGGAGTTACCTGCTGGAACTATTTCTTGCCAAACAACAACCAGGGTCAGTGACTTCCTGAAGTCTTTCCAAAATGTTGAACTCTTCCTTTAAAGTATATACTAGGTTGGGCTTTCTACCTTTTGAATATGTTAGTTTAGTTTTAATATCTAGAAAAATTTACATTTTCCTTTCTTCATACCAACTGTCAGGTACACAGGTACCAAAGGCTGGCATACAGTGTAAACCCAGGGTTCTCATTGGTTAAGACTGTTGTTGAAGTAGTTTGAACAGTAGATGGTCGAGCATTGTGGAGAAATCAGCCTGTAGAATTTTTCCCATTTACTCGACCGTGAACCTGTGTTACATTTTGTGGTTTATAAATGACCATAATATGGTTTAATTTACTTCTATCAATCATGGTGTAAAAGTAGCCGTCACTCTCTCAAATGGCGGATATTTAATTTTGGGAAAACCAGAAAAAAACAACAACATTAACATCCTGTTCCTCTCTGTGCTTTGTGTGCTCTGTGGGAGTTTTGTGTCTAGATAATAATCTCTCATTATGTTGCTACAGTCAATTAACATCCATTACTGTCAGACTGCATCTCTGAGTAAATGTTGACACTCGCTAATTCCCAGCAATACGCTGCTCGCCACATTTAACCTGGAAAAACACACCAGAGTGGACTTTTTTTTCCCTCATTTGGACAGTTTCAAACACATCGCCTTCATGATCCTCCTTTTTCTTCCTCTTTCCTTTTTCTTCACTTTCAGTTTTTTACTTTTTTTGTCTGAAGGATTTTTTTATGCTAAGTTTGAAATAATCATTTAAATCTCACTTTTGATTATAAGCATCATTGAAATAACTCTTCAGTTCAACAGACATAGCTGCAGGTTGTTCTTCAAGAGTGCACAGAGCTCCAATAAAGGCAAATAAACAGCGTTTATCCCCATGAATTAATCTTTCTACTCTGCTCTTTCAGGGAATTTCCATCAGTGTTTTTATCACAGTTTCATTCACAAGATAAATTCAAGGTTTTTGTACGTCCTTAAAACATGTCAAATTTAAGATTGATGCTACCTTTATTTTTTCAAATCATCTCGAATTAAAGGAAACGGTGTATAAAATAGACATGTCACAATAAAGACATTAAAATAAAAATAATTAGGGAAGAAAATAATCAAATCACACTCAACGTTAAAATTGAAGAGAAAGAGAAAGAAACGTTTGTTTAAAATATGATAATCTTAGACTGAAATCAGGGTGTAAACACAGCATTTTACTTCAAAAAATTTGTTTTAGATTAAAAATGTAAAATTTAAGGGTTTTAAATCAAATGCTGCACAAGTACATTGTTTCATAATAGAATGTATGCTTTTTATCTGTCTCTGTGTCTGCGTGTTATAAAAGGTAATAATCTCCCCTTCTACCTGCAGGTTGTGACATGTGCGCAGACAACAGGAACGGCGAGTGTCCGATGCACGGCCCTCTTCACTCTCTACGTCGTCTGGTCGGCACCAGCAGCACGGCGGCGCCCGTCACCCTGCCGGACGTCCCTGATTGGCTCAGAGACCTGCCCAGAGAGGTAAGACTTCCTGTCTGTCTTTCTGTCTGCTGTCTGCCTTTCTGCCTATGTAGCTGCTTGACTATTGTATTTTACAATGTTTTAAGGAAGTTATATTAGAAATTTCCCATCAGAGAACACTTTTTATCCTCTTAACAATGGGATAAACTCTGCTGTTTGAGGCCAGCTGTCTTTATATTTGAACAAAAACGTGTATTTCTGTTGATTACAGCAATTGATTTATCTTCACCAAAAGTACTTTTACTAAAGGAAAGGATTTGTTTACTACTACTACTACCAGTGTATCCTGGTTTGAAAGTCAATGATGTTGCCTACACAGTTCGGTCAGATGTTCTGCGGCTTGCCAGCTGTTGTACTGCGGTTTGCTAATGTTACCAAAAATTTACTTAATATGGTCTTTCTAGAACAAAATTTTCTGCACTTTTTGCATGGACAAGGTAACAGCGTGGTAAAGGGAAGTGACTCAGAAAACAATAAAAGGACACTGTAGAGGAGCTGTGTTAGTTTAGCAGGTTATTCTGGGTCTGCAGAAAAAAAGAGAAAGACAGACCACAGGTGAACAAGAGTGCTGCATTGTCACAATGTAGAGAAGTAAAAGTCCTGCATACAAATTCCTTCATTAGTTAAAGCACTGACCTTGGTGTCCTGAATAGCTGTCCAATGCATAGAAGTACACTGTATAAATATCTCTGTGTTGTGTATGCAGGTGTGTCTGTGCACCAGTACAGTTCCTGGTCTGGGTTACGGGATCTGTGCAGCTCAGAGGATTCCTCAAGGAACCTGGATCGGCCCGTTTCAGGGAGTCCCACTGCTGCTGGACAAACTGCACTCTGGAGCCGTCAGAAACACAAGACACCTGTGGGAGGTAAGAGGGTGAGAAGGGTGTGGATTTATGGGTGCTGTAGTCTCCCAAGAGCCTCACAGCATTCTTCATTTGTACGACGAGTGGCTTCAGTGGAAAGTGAACCCTCAACCCTGTCAGTAGATGCACAGGAATCAAATCCCTGTCTGGATGATTACAGGTGTAGGTGCGTGTATGTGGTTTCAACATCAGAGATTTTTTCCAAGATTTAGTTCCAACAAACTTTTTTTTTAAAGATATATTTGGACAATATAGGTATGATTGAAATGTGTTGAGTGTCATCTGAGTGGAGATATAAGATATCAGGGTTGTTTATCACCTTAATGTTGCAGACACTAATGACACTTGAATGGGAATGGGAAGTATGGGTAAATCTGTAACTCATTTTGCTATATATTGCACATAAAATAAGATTAACTATCGTCATTACAACTAGCCAAAACAGTCTCTCAAAAACAAACCTATTTATCTATTTTTATCAATTTATTTATTTTTGAGACATGCGACCACACTTCTGTTGTTTCTACAGTTTGAGAAAGCAAACATGTTAAGTTTGAGGCATGTTATTGCAGGTCTTGAAAAATATTAAAAAGCATTGTATTCAGTTTCTGGGAAAAAAGGCCACAGAAGTCTAAAATTTAACTTACAAGTATTAAATATCGTCCCTAAACCAACAGTGGGATTGTGGTGCAGGAGGCTGTTCAGTCCTTTTTTGTGGTGTTTCAGACAGAACCATCAGACCTGCAGTGAGCACTGTTACTGTAGCAGCTAGGAACTAAAATAAACTTAAATGATTAATCATTTTTAAATGGGTAATCCATCCATCCATTTCATGCCGGTCCAGCTTACATCATTTAATTAATTATATCATTAGAAATGATTGTTATGAGTGGAAAGTACTGAAAAATAAATAAATAAATTATATTTTGACAAATTTAACTTGGTGAACCTGCAGAACACCCCGTGCTGGCTGTGCATGTTTATTGTTGGTGGGTGCCAGTTTGTGTGGTTCTGTGTGTATTTGAGTGTGTTTGTGTGCTTGTGGTCAGCGTCATGTCACCTCTCAGTCCATTGATCAGAGCAGATTGTATTTACATACAGTGGCAGGAGAAAGTCAATGTGGCAGTTATAAACAGCTGCATTAGCATTAGCAAGAGAGAAGGAGAGACAGAGAGGGAGAGGGGGAGAAAGAGAGAGGGAGTGAGGGATGCTGGGAGACAGAGAGATAGATGAGTCCCTTGTGGCCGAGCTGGTAAAGGTCAGTCAGACGTCGGTTGACCGGACATCAGTCTCTCTGCTGTTGACCGCAGCAGGACATCAGGAGGGGGGGAATAGGGGAGATGGGTTGGGAGGTGAGGTGGGGTGGGGGTGGTCTGCAGCGGGTCATAGGTCAGAGGTCACAGGGGGCATGCACACATCATAGGCCAAGTCCAGCAGGAGCAAGGAGCTCATCATGTCAGGGTTTGTACTTCAAACAGAGAACATGAAAGCGTTGAGTTCACTGACAGCAGGATTTTCCTGATAATCTGTCTTTAAGTATTTTGTCTGATACATCTACGGTCGCAGTCGGACAGTTTTTCATATCAGTTCCTTACCTGTCGATCACTTTCAGCTTTCAAAGGCACAGTCAAACAGCACTTTGAGTGTCTTAAGCTTCTGTAATGTGACATAATGTGAGCTGGGTAGGAGGTATACGATCCAACTATACTGGGACTGGATCGGATAGCTCAGAAGTGGGCCTGATGATATCCACAAGCTAATGGTCAGGTGCAGTTTTTTGTTTTGGGCGGATATAAACTCTTCCCAAATCACATCACATTTGACTGGATACTCAAAATATTGGAATGTATAGTAACAGAGAAAAGTTTTTTTTATATATATTTATATAATAAAATGTTTTTGACATATTTACACAATAAATAGAAAAAAATGAATGCAGGAACACTGGATTAGAATTTAGAAAATGTTTATTTCATTGAACCGAGTCTTCAATAAGAACTGACAGATGATTCATAGGGCGACATTTAAAGTGATCATTGAGTGATCTTTTGAGTGCGACATTTTCTATGTTACAACTTAATTCTCAGAATATAACTTCTTTCACTTAAAATGATGACTTTATAATGTAAAATTACATATTTTTTTAATGTTAGTTCTCAGTACTAGAACTTTACTCTCATGTACAATTTTTTACCCCCAAATTTGTTTTTACTCTTCTCTTAAAATCTCAGTTTTTGGGTAGCAAGTCACTTTGTGTCATTATTTGTTAGAAATAAAAATGTGAATGTCCAGCCATATTGACATCCATCTTATTAGCCTGACTGGGATTTATTTATTAACTAAAATATAATATAATTGTAAGATTATTTGAATTTGATGCTTGAGTGATAAAAAGACTCTTACACATTATTGTTACATCTTCATTTAAAACTGTTCCTAAGATTACCAAAATCAAACCTTTATTCAGCTCAGGAAATAGCTGTTTCTCCAAAGGTTATGAGATATAAAAATATACAGGGTGTAAAAATACTACAGGAAACTGTTTTTTAAATATACTACTGTACTTTAAATACTAACAATTTCTGGATATACAATAAATCCTGGAGTAAAGAGAGGGAAAAAGGTATAATCTTGTGTTCTCTGCAGTGTTTTTAAGTAAATTACCCACATTCATGTGTTTTACAGCTCTGATTGAGTCTTTGTTGTTGTATTTAGACCCAGCAGAGTCAGCTACGACCCAGTATGAGGTCTAAAACCAGCCTTTGAACCTCTCGGCCCAGGAGAAATGCTGATCCGATAACCCGGCCCTAACCATCGGCAGATTATCGGCTGCCGGGCTAAAACCGGTCATTAGGCCTATTGATGAAGAAGCTTTACACACAGATCCCATTAAAACTCACTAGTTGTTAAACTCGCTTATTGATGCCCCCCAAAACAGGAAGAGATATTTGTCCTATAGCCAATCAGGGAGCTTGTGTCATGTTGTCTATGGTGTCCAGGAAGGGCCAGTTTTAATTAAGACACTTGCCGTTACGTCTGGGTGGAACAGTGGAGGATTTTCTGGTGCTGCAGTATTTTACGGCTCGACAAATTGATCTCCTCTGAGGCAGAGCTCAGTGTTTGAGCCTGAGTTTATGGAGGAATAACTCTTTAACTATCTGACCTGGAGCTTTGTCACTTACTGTTTCTGTACTGTGGTGAAGAGTTCTTAATACAAACATTCCTTTAATATCAGTATTATTTCTTGTGATTTTTAACCCCATATAGGTGGGCTCTGATGAAAGACAGTGAATTCTATAAAGCATATCTTTGACAGAATGCTGTATAGATTATGTTTAGTTTAGTTCATCAATTAATTGATGAAAAATGAATGGACAACAATTTGTCTTTCTTTCTTCTTTCTCTGGTAAGGAAGACGATATAATGGTAATGATGGAAGGAAATAGTGAATGAAGAAAAGAAAAAAGAGGATAAAAAGAAGTTAACAGAAAAGAGAAGAATAGAAAGAAATAGGAAGTAGAGAAGGAATGGCAAAAAGAAAGATATTACTGGTGTTTTCTGTGCTTATCTGATGCTGAATGTAAAAATCCTTGTTTATTTACATTTAGTTCATTAACATATGTTTTTGGACAGCGAGGTGCAAAATAATCTATTCTTATTCCATCCAAATGTATTTACGTCGCACCGCTCTCCTCTAGTAAACCGCATTTTATTAAGGTTGTCACAAAAAAAGTGTGGATGAGATGGATGCAGCTGTACAAGTTGTTGTAAGTTGGCTTACAGAAATAGCAACTCTTAGATCATCATATTTCTTTGTTAAGTTAACTGCTCCCAGCAACCGCCACTGCACCTTCCTGATTGGTTACGGCACAACAAAAGCTCCTCCCAAACACAAAGGCTGACAAGGGGACAAATGGTATTTCAGTCTAATAAGCATCTATGATATTATCTTTTGTGAAATCTGAATTTTTAGGACAGTACCTCCAGCCACGAGATAAATATAGTAAAAAATATAACATTTCCCTGTGAAATGTAGTAAAAAAAAATGTGGAAATACTGTACTCCAGCAAAGTACCAGAACCTCAGACTTGTACAGTAATTGAGTGACATTGCAATAAATATTCCCACTTTCATCTGACCGTGCTTGTTGAGGGAAGGGAAGGCAGTTTCTCATTTTCCCCCTGCCTGGATTCGGACCGAGGTTGTTCTGATTGAAAAGAATGTGCAGTGAAAACATGAGAAATGTCCTGAAGTCACAGCTCTGACCTCGTCCTCTGGGGTTTTACGGGAGTTTTCTTTTGGACAGATCCGAGACTGGATGAGCTGTCAGCACAGAGTCCGTGAAAACAGCCCCAAACATCATAACTTCAGAGCGGCAAAGAAAGGAAAACTTCAGCTGCACAGTTTGAGGCAAAATATTTTGTTAGTGTGGGATGTTGATGAGACACATGAGGATTCAGAAAATTCCAAAACGCCTGTTGGTATCTTGGCTTTTTGCATCTTAAAACATATAAATCTATTTTCTTTGTCTGTTTCTTGTAACCGAGTCACTGTTGTCCGCCTTTACACGCCTGTTGGTCTGTCCATTTGTGTTTGTCTGTATGTCCATCATCGTATTCCCACTGTATTCCCTACAGAATTCCCATTGACTTTGTGTTTTCAGTGGTTTGTGGTCACAGCGTCCAGTAAAGGCTCTGTAATGTTTTCTTGACTGATGTCATTATTTAATGTTTGTGTGGCTGTCTGTATTCTGCATTTTATTAAAGGGTCTGATCGCCATTGACATCATCAGTTTCATTACATAATCATCAACGGTTTTATGTCAAATTACATGTTTTGGTTTCCTGTTGGTTGGATTTCAGTGAGGCGTTTGAGTTTTTATCGGTGGAATTTTTGAATGAAAGCAGTGAATTGCTGCATTATATCAGTGTGGTTACTGATATAATGCAGCAGTTCAGTGGGTTTCGAGTTTATCTGAAGAGTCTTGACAACTTAAGGTTTAA